GGAGAAAAAAAGGTGACAAAGACAAAAATGACTGTAAGAAATAGGTGGAGCACAGGGAAAGTTCTAAGATTTTTCAAATGATAAGCCCAAGTGGAGGGATTAAAAAAGAAACAGAGCAATACTTAAGGAGAAATGGTTGAAAATTTTCTAAAATCTATGAAAGCCAATAAAGCATGGAGCCAAAGATCGAAAAAATGCTACAAACCACTGGCAAATGCAAAGAAAATTAAATCTAGACATATCATAGTCATACTGTGAAAAACCAAAGACAACAAGAAGACTCATTATCATCAAAGAAGCAAAAATAAGACTAACAGTTCATTTCATTGTCTCTGGCTTCCATTACCTCTCCTGAGAAATCTATATTTTGTGCTGTTGTCATGCATTTTAATTATATGGACTATATATTTATGGCCAGTATTAACTTACAATTATGTACATCATTTATCAAAATAAATGTAATTACAAACAAAAATGAAAAAAATCATTTTTACTAAAGAATGTAGGAAAAAAACTACTTCTAGACGAAGGAAAATAATTTCAGATGGAAAAATGGAGATGAAGAAAGGAAGACTACAGGAAAGAAATATATTCTAAATATAAAATGTGTATCAACTATATACATAGACAACAAATATAAAACTAACATATACAACAATATGAAAAATGGAAGTCAGTAATGGAGCTAAAATACTATATTTGCATGTTTAATAAGTTGCAAAGATACCAATTTATATAATATTTTAGTAAGTCCAGATCATGTGTTGACATCTTATATATAGCAATAAAGAGTATAGTAAAAACAGTATATAATTAAGCCATGGCAGGGGGAAAATGAACAAAAATATGTCACTCAAAAGAAGCTATAAAAAGAGAAAAAAGCGGGGAAAAAGCATAACAGGAGGAAAAAAGAGGGGAAAAAGAACACTTGAGACAAATTAAAAAAAACAGTGGGATGGTACCTTGGTTCTTTTCTGAAAATTCCTCCCCAGTCATCCTGAAGTATTTAGTAAATGTACTAACAACTGCAGAGCTGCAAACTAAAAAGCATACAGTCACATTATCCTCGGATTAAATTTAGGCAGAAATATATTTAGGTTAGATTCCTGAGAACTTTTAATATCAAATACTTTCTTTGAATCATAATTTTTGCTGAGAGCAAATGTAACTTAAAGGATTCAGGATATAATGTACAATAACTATAAGTTTAATGTCACATAACCTACAATTTTGCTTTTATACATCTACTGCATTTAAAATATTGTATTAGAATTTAGGCCCTGGAGAATTTTATTGTCACACAGGGTATTATATATGAAAAAAATTTAGCTACTGCTTTAGCAGCACTTGCAAATCAAAAAGGAATTGCTTTACCAGGTACCTTACATTTAATCAAAACCTTGAAATATACCAATTAAGCCAGCTTCTTCATACCAATTTTAACAGAGACAAACATAGAAAATAAAACAGGCCTGAAAAGATAGCTTGAACCATAGGATGATCAATTTTAACCTCCTGGTCTATGAAAGGAATCTTCTGCAAAATCAGTGTCATTAGCAAAAAATTTAATTTGTGGAGCTGTGGTACAATAAACCTTTTATTCACACTGACCTATTTTGTATTGGATAATAAATTGTTAAACTTCAAATGTATGTGTCTATTTTTACACATACACACACCCAGCATTTATTTTTCAACCTAATAATTTATCAGGGATATATTATTATCTCTCACATGTAAACTGAAATTTTAAGATCTAGCCAGAATATTGCCTGCACAAATTCACAGGATGAATTGTAAGCCAAAAAATGTCTAGGTTTCCAATCTTCTATTGCCTAGCACAGGATTCTTTCAAAATATAATATTCTATCTGTCCCAACAGTTACAAAATTGTTTCAAATTCCAGAGGTCCTGCTCATGATTCTCTCTGCCAGATTTTACAATGATTTGTTAAGCACTGTGCTGTCTCATCAACACCCCCCAGAATCCATTTTCAGCTCTTCTCCCCATCAAAGCCTAACTCCCGTGAGATGAAAAGGTAAGACACCAACAGGAATAATATCCATCTTCTATCACTAAGACCAAACTATATTGACATCAAATATTCATTATCACATTAGCATTCACTTAACTAATATTTATCATTGTACCACAATGTACCAATCATCGATTTGGCAAGTGCTACGAAGAATTTTATGGTCCCCATAAGCAGGAGATAAACATTCACTCATTTGTTCATTAAGTATTTACTGGCTCTGAAAGACTAACCAGACATTCTGTTAGTTGCTGAGAATGGAGGGTGTTTCCCTTACTTTTATGATGCCTAGACTCTGTTAGGGAACTAGACATCAAATAATCACAAAAATAGGCAATTCATATTATATATAATGAACTGTGTACTGAGCCATATAGGATAACAAGAGCTGCTTGCCTTAAGAGTCTGGGAAACAGTTCATGAGAAGGTAACATTTGAGTTAAGATCTGAAGGGTGAACAGAATTTGTTAAAAATAGTCTTCCCAGAAGAGGGGAAAACAAAGACCATCGCTCCAGAGGAAACATTATTAAGAATTCAAAGACGGCCACGGCGGCAAGAACAAGAGAATACCTTAAGATGATATTGTAGAGAAATACAATGCAAATAACAGGGAAAGCTTCAGAGACACATTGAAAGTTTTGGTGTTCATTCCTAAAAGTAATAGAAATGCATACAAGGCTATAAAACGGGGGTCAGCAGGATTCCATTTGAAATAGATAACATCTCCCAACCAGCTACATGGGTGTTGAAGCAGGACTGCAATCACCTAGTAGTCCATGAGAGAGAATGCTATTTTAAAACTGATAGGAGTAAAGTTGGAAAAAAAGATGGATTTGAGAGAAATTCAAGAGGTAAAATTGCAGGACTTAGTGATACTTTGGATGTGGGGAAATGAAAATGAAAAGCTCTTGCCTTGTGGCATATAGAACTGAACAGATTGTGGATGGTTTCCTGTGATAGCAAATACTGGAGAAGATCTGGGGTTGAAGGAAGGAGAACGTGAATTCAATTTCGGAAATGTTGAGTTTGAATTGCTTTTGAAATATCCAAGTGATTGTGTCCAGTGAGCAGCTGAACATCAGGACTGGAGCCTAAGAGGGAGACAGGAATATAAATCTGGAGAACACAAATATATAAATAGTAACCAAAACCTTGAGTGTGGATACAAAGTCATGAGGAACCTGGTCATCTACCAGACAGCGATAGGCCACTGAGTCCGTCTGGTGCCAGACCAAGGAACCAGAGACTCCGTAGGGCTTAAAGCAGTTACAGGTGTTATAAACAGATGCCAAGGAAGATCAATTTCAATGAGTCAAGTGTCAGATGTCAATGGTGCTGAGTTCAAATAAGGCAAGATATAAAAAACTACAATTCAACGAGTGGGAGTGAAATAGAATGATGCCTAAAATGCCATGGAAGCACAGAAATGGGGCATCAACTCTGGGTGGAGCAAAGAGTTGGTTAAAGGAAGTAACACTTAAGCTGTGTTTGAAAAATGAGTAAGAGTTTCCCAGGCAAAGAAGTCACTATTTAGTGAAGGTATAGCTGTTTCTCACACTCCTCATCATTTTTGACAACCCACTTCCACATCTTAACAGGGCAAAGTAGACATCCTCAGGTAGCAGCCTAGTCTCCACCACTGCCCCCACAGCTCACAAATCAGAACATGAGGGAGAGAAATACAATGTTAACACAGCAACAAACATCACTTAAAGTCTCAGAGTTAGGGAAGAAAAGAGGATTCCTGATTCTCTAACAGACTGAATATGGAAGTTTAAAAAAAAGGTTATAAAAACAAAGTTATAATAGCAAAAATCAAATTAGAATGTAGAAAAATTAAAGACATGTGAATATATGAGAAGAATAACTCTCCCTCTCGTGCATTTTCAGCAACAGGCTTCACGCCAGATGACCATGACCATCTTTTAAGTAATGAGGAGCAATGTATCTTCTGATTGGTTTTGAAAGAATCCACAAATGCTGAATTCCTATTTGTAGAACTGAGATCACAATATCACATACTGATACACTAAGCTGAGAATACGCTAAATGTAAAACTACAGGAAAAATGGATACCTAGTATTAGAAGAGCTGATCTAAAGCCACATGGTCAAATTATGTTTACCCACTGAAATATTATAATTAACCCAAGTTATTACGCTGTTCACAAGATGAATCAGGGATAAACATTTTTGCGTCCAGCAAAAAATCAAGAAAGAGTGAAACCCTTATACTGCCCCTTCATTTTTCCATGCTTTAACATTCACATAACAATCGTCACTGTTACTACTCGGTGAAATTTTAAATTTTGAGCTCTTTTAAAGGAAAAGCAAATTTCTTTTTTCATCTACCTGCCATTTGTTTGAGAATGCATGAAGCTGCAAACACGTGGATCCAATTAAGTTGCCTATTGTCTTAAAGCATTCAGGAATCACAGGGGCATCAATTTTGGTTTGAAATTGCTGTTATTTACAATTTTTTTCAAGCTTATTCAAGTGTGTTGAAGCATAAATAAGTTAGGGATAATTAATGACATGCTAGATAATTTCACCCTACGATGTTTTCCTAGCCATATACGTTGGCTTCATTCCTCTTTCTGCCACACATTGTCCCCTTTGTTACACGGTACAGGGAAGGAACTGAAAATAAAGGCACTATCCCTGGAGGAAAGCCAAGAGATATGCATATTGTATAATGCAGCCCCTCCAAGGGAAAAACAGAAGCCGCAGTTTCCTTTAGGCGTCCTGCAAAAGGCCACAGGTAGGGACTTTGCTGGGTCTGAGCTATAGAGGCGGGTCTACATGTTCACAGCACAGAGATGATGGGGAACCTTTTAAGAGGTGAGGCCTAACAAGACGGAACTGCTGCAGGGAGGGCCCTGCGGTGCGGTGGTGACATAAGAGGGAGAGAGACCAGCCGGCTGTGTGCAAAAGGGTGGGGACACCCTGGGCCGCGAGGTGGTACCTGCGCAGGGTCGAGCGCCCCAGCCACTGAATCCCCGATCCAGAGATGGTCCCGGAGAAGCTGCTGGTAGCTGAGGCAGTGCTTCACCGCAGATGGCACATTCCCCATGGCGGGGCCTGGGACTGCAGACGGAGATAGGAGGGCGCCAGGAGCCGGGAGGAGAGGGATGCGGAGCGAGCTGCGCCAACCCAGAGCGCGCCCCTCCGGGCCACCGGCTGCGAGCACCGGCCCTGCTCCGCGCACTGCGTCGGCGCCGAGAAGGTGGGGAGCTGGCCACACTCGCGGCGGCGCCCGGGGCAGGGAGTACGGGAGGCACCTGCGGCGGACGTCCGCAGCACCCGGAACCGGAGAAGAAAAGGAACAGAGCCCAAGGATGTTCAGGTGTGGCGCATTTTCCTAACTGCGCTGAGCTTGCGGGGCTCTCTGTACACGCCCCACTTACCGACTTCTCACCTGGTTCAGATCCTAAGAGAAAGGGTGTATGTAAATAAAAGGAAGGGCGCATGCGTTTTAGTGCCGGTGCATTTGCTCATTTCCAGCTGCAGACTTTCATGCTTAAGGTAGATTTGTCCAGCATTGAACTCACTTGAGTTTGTGCTTGACAACAATAAGCTCGATTTTAAAATATGTTGAGCTCATTTGCAAGCTTAAAACACAGCCTAATAAAGAAGAAAATATACAAAGTACTACCTTGGAGGAGATGTCACAGATAACTTGGTTAAGTCAGTAAATTGTCATTAAATTGGTACTACAAGTTAAGCACTGAACTGGAATGGAGTTGCTTAAGAGATGCATGGCTCAAAACTGTTGAAGCCCTAAAGGCTAAATTCATTGGAACTAAAAATGCTACATAAATCCTTAGGATATTAGAATAGGAATAATCTTTGGTGTGGAAGGGGTTGGGAAGATGGTCCTGGAACAGACCATTTCCTTACCTCCTCTCCTTCATAGGCACAGGTTCATCACCTGGACCCACTCTAAAACTTTTCAGAGTGGGTTCAGCAGCTTGCAACTGAATAGACATTCATCAAGAACAGTCTTGGGACACCTGGGTGGCTCAGTGGGTTAAGCGTCTGGCTTCGGTTCTGGTCATGATCGCAGGGTCCTGGGATTGAGTACTAGCCACGGATTTCATGGCCATTGTTATACAAGAGCAAAAGTACATAGTGGTATTGCCTTCCATACCATCAACAGTGTATTCGTGAATTCTTAGCTCCTTGCTCAGCGGGGAGCCTGCTTCTCCCTCTGCCTTGGGCTCCCTCCCCTCTGCTTGTGCTCTCTCAAGCACTCTTTCTCTAACAAATAAATAAATAAAATCTTAAAAAAAAAAGACCAGTCTTATGCAGCCAAGTGTTCATGGCAAGGCATAACAGTCAGCTCTACCAGTTGCTGCAGCAAAGAGAAATCAGAAGCTGGCTGATGTTGCACAGCCAAATGAAAGGATCCAAAGATTATCTTGTAAAACATAGTATAAACACACTTAGAAGGAATTTAACACCCAGAATAAGGAAACAATCTTTACTACTTGGGAGAGTGGTGAGACTTCCACCAGCAATAGAAATAAAGCAGCTAAGGACAGGAAAAGGCAAAGAATGAGAGAGGTACCCTGTAGATCCTCAGTGGAACAGCATTGGAAAACATGACCTGAGCTGCCAAAGTGAAGTCATGCAAGTACTGGATGCCTTTAAAACTCCTAAAGCACACACAAAAAATTCCAATTATTATTTACCTGAAAGGGACTATTTTATAGGTGTGTATTCATAGGGCTAAATCTATTCTATGTTGTTTTTAGCAGAGCTCAACTGTTAATTATTTTTCCTCCACAACTGAAATGCATTCAGGTTGCACCAATGCCTATTATCTTTTTTTTCTCTCCCTGTTGTAATACTGTAACAGGGAACATAGTTTCTGAAAGAATTTAAAAGGACCAATTTGAACAACAGTAAACAAGGTAACCTTCAGAATGGAGTCAGTCCTTCAAAACTTGAAATACTTTTGACATTTATTAGTGAAGTCTAAATTTTTGCAGAATATGACTTTTGAAATAAGCCAAATACTATACGTTCCTTTGCTATAAAGAACACCTAGAAGTAAACTTTACTGCTTAATACTTTTCTAAATAGGAAGGTCTTCAGAAAATATCATATCCCAGTTAGTTCACCAAAGTAATATAGTGGGGTTTTTTTTTTCATAAAAGCCTTATAAATATGAAAATATTTGTTGACACAGACTTACTTAAGGCATTAATTAATGCCTTTCATATGGAAAATGCTATATCAAAAATTTAAACTATAATTCCTGTAAATACAAAAATCATTAACAATAATAAGGACCAAGTATCTTAAGAATGTTTACTCTCACAAATGAAAGGGAGTGAAAATAGATGGGCTTTTGCTGGAAGGTACAGTTTGATGTTAAAGTTAATTCTGAATACTGAAAATGTATAAATTTGAAAAGTTACATTAGTGTATATCTTTCTTTTTATCATTAGAATGAAATTTTGATCTGTATCCCTGTTAATGCAAATCGAGAAAGCTCTAAATGAAATCAGAGTAGATACAGCAAATCCATGTGGTGGACAATGTAGCTCTTTCTCCCCATATGCAGGTTAAGAAACTTGAGCTCCATCAGAGCAGTATAGGAAATACCTGTTAAAAATCAAGTGTGTGTGGCATATGGTGATCTGCACTCTATACCACTCTCATTATGCATCAGGACTAAGCCATTTCTATTTCATTGCATTTCAATCATTCAAATATAAGAAGATACAAAAAATCATTGCAAATTAAAAGGAATTAAATTTCCTGTTTCCTCTAGTGAATATAAATAACTTTTCATTCAAAACATTCACATGTACCTGTCTTTCCTGAATTGTTCTTGACTCCCTTCCCTCCTTAAGCTCCTACCAAAAATCCAGTCTCCCAAGAAGAGATGTTAACATCTTGGACCCATCCATTTTCTCTCTCAGTTCCCCTATTGACTTCTCTCTGCCACATTCCTTTTTGAAAGGCACCACCATAGCACAGTGAGGGAGATCCCTCACCGTGGTTTTAGATTACCCGAGATGGGAGCCTGGTTCCACCAGTTACAAACTGAGCCACCTTCAGCAAGTTCTTTAGCCTCCGTTTCCTTATGTTTAGGAGGGTGATGATAAAATTTCCTACCTGACAGAGCCGTTGCAAGATGAAATGAGTTAGAATATATAAAGTGATCAACACATGGTCTCTGGCACATAGTAGGCACCCAATAAAATATTTAGCTATTATTACTACAGTGGTCTGGCTCTCTGTTTTATTTTGCATTCTAAAATCACACTGTATAGCCTGAGCAATTTTTGAAAATATGTATCTGATCAATATTTCTAAGCTTAAAATTCTTAGAGATTTCTCATAATTTTGCAGAGAAGTTTATTAAAATGACACCCAAGTTTTCTTGAAGAGACTCAGTTATCTTTCCAGTCTCATCTCCTGTCCATTTCCAACTTGTTCTTAACTCCAGAAATATCAAAGTATTTGCAGTTCTCAAAATTTCAGGGCTCTCCCGTGTTGTACTATCATTCGAATTTTGTTCCGTATTATACACATTTTGGGAAACACAAAAGATTCATGAAGATATCAATGAAATCAGCCATCATTCTAATGCTAGAAATATTTTAACATATTTTCTCTCAGAGAGAAAATAAATTAACATTTTTCTGTCTCTGTTTTTTATTCTGCCCTTTTCATTTAACACTTAATTAAGTTCTTTCAAACTATTATGCTAATGGCTATGCAATATTCATATATACATATATAATCAAAATCATTTTAATCATCTTCTAAAGCATAACCTTTTACTTATTTTTGAAAGGGAGATGACTAGCTAGAATATGATCATGTGAATGTTTGTATAAATAATTGTCTAATCTTCCAAAAACAGCATGGTGGTGGAAATCTTCCATGATGGTTGTGTTTCTGTCAATTTCTGTTTTTGTTTTTAACAAAGTTTGGTTTCATACATACAGCATTTCCTCCTGTGGTTGGTAATTTACTAATACGAGTTCATCCTTGGTGAAGGCTTTCTTTTTAAGATTTTATTTATTTGACACAGAGAGAGAGCACAAGCAGGGGGAGTAGCAGGCAGAGGGAGAAGCAGGCTCCCCACTGAGCAAGGAGCCCAATGTGGGACTCAATCCCAGGACCCTGGGATCATGACCTGAGCAGAAGGTAGATGCTTAACCGACTGAGCCACCCAGGCATCCCAAGGCTTTTTTTCTTTTTTTTTTTCCTATGGGGATCTTATACGGGTTATTGGTACACCCCCTAAAGAAGAACTTCACTTTGGCTTGGCTGGGATTTCCAGTGAGTTTGGTTTGACAATTCTGGGATTCATTTTTTTGTTAACATCTTAGCTTGGGGTACCATAAGGATATTATGAACCTGGAACTTAAAACCATGCACAATGGAATTTGGCTTCAGTTTTCTTGCAGGGAATTCCATTTCCCACTCACACGCTCAAGCAAACCTTTTCCATCTATATACATGGAACTGTCTTTGGAGACCCAATAGCTCATGATCTTGGCTCAATTAGCTCCCTTTCTCAGATGCTCATTGGATATCCCATTCCCATGTGATAGAAGCCCCAGCCTCTGGCTATAAAGACCTGTACCCTCCTGTGCGCTTCTTGGCAATATTTAGTCCCTGGGTACATCCTTGATATCAGTGTCTGAGGAGAGGGACAGACATATCTCACATCAGCTTAGTCCCCCATATTTATCAGAATTCTAACATGAAATTGTTTTTTATGATTACTGTGTTTGCACATATTGTTCAGTTCCTGGAGTTCCGGTCACCTCTAGTAAAGTAAAGGTAGAATCCAGGAGACGGTGAACTGAACTGAGAATATCGTTACTTGGAGAACCTGAGAAACTTACAGTAGAGTTCTGATATTTTGACAAATCTATAAGAAAGAAAACTAGACTAAAGCCGTATGTTCTCATTACCCACTCCCATCCTTCTCTCTATCTCTTATCCATATAAAATGACAAAAATAAATTACGTAGTTGTGCATTGACTATATCTTAAGCAAAGTCTCTCAAAAATAGAATGGGGATGGATTTGTCTTCCAGAGACCAGTCAACCCAAAACTAGGTAGATTGACCACTATCAATCCTCTCAAGTGGCAAGTTCTTTGTGGAGAAATGTCCAGTTAAAACAGGTTATTTTGTGAGTCCCTTTGGTCCCAAAGATGGCTGTTTAAGGGTTTGTATGATGA